TCTTAAGCTTTGCGTTATTAAATTTTTATAAATTCCAATATTCATTTATTACTATTTCCATTTCAACTTTTTACGAATGTAGAATGTAATTTCTACATTCGTAAAAAGTTGAAATGGAAATAGTAATAAAAAGAATATTGAATGTGAGGGTAGGCAGAGAGCATTGTACATATACACACGCACACATTCACAGAGTGCTCTCGTGTGAGTGAATTGGTATATACACACAAACATATAAATATTATAGTTGGCGTAACAATCACCAGGTGGCGCTGTTTCCAAGGAGCACCAGTTTTACTCGCAAGAGGGCTCTCTTCTTCCTTATATATTACTATACTCTTTGGTCCGTTTTCAGACATCGTCGAGGGTGGATTGCGCGTCGGTGTTGGAGCGTCTTCGTTCAAATATATATTAGTTTTTTAAAAGTTTATACTAAATTATAATTATTTTTATGACTAGAAATACTTAATTTAGTTAATATCTGTACACTGGTAACTGTAATTATTATTTTCTAAATAAATTAATTTTTAAAGTGCCCAAAGAAGAAGAAATTTTCGCGGCGACGTTGATTAGTGAAATTGAAAAATGCATTTTTATATAATTTAGATGTGGAACGACGAACATGCACTCGTTACTTAGATTTCGATAGTTTTTAATACCTTTGTAATTTTATTGTTGCATAGTTTTATTAATTTGTTGATAGTGAATTTTATAATTATGTATTACAATAAAACGCTGTTTTTATGAGTATGACTTTATAAAATATTATTGGGGAGGGAAATATAGATACAGATACTTTAGGTACATTATTATCAAATTAAATCAAACAATTTAAATTAAAAAAAAATGGTGCTTCCCTAAGTATAAATAACTATATAAAGACATTCTTGGGTTTATGGTTGTTTTTATGTTAGACAAACTATCATCTAAAAAATGTAAATATTTTAAACTGGAGAGGGGTTTCTCTACGTGATAAAGTTAGAAATGAAGATATTCGCAGTAGAACCAGAGTAACTATATGTACTATATGTAAATAGCAAAAAAAAAATAGGAAGATAGGTTCTCGAGGGGCAACCTCGTACAGGTAAGAGAAGTTTCTTCACACACACACACACACACACACACACACACACACACACACACACACACACACACACACACACACACACACACACACACACACACACACACACACGCACGCACACGCACACGCACACGCAAACGCACACGCACACGCACACACACACACACACACACACACACACACACACACACACACACAATAGGTCGCAAATAATACTATTAGGCAAGAGTGAATAGGTTTTTGTTAAGTCCCACTTACCGATGGGATTGTAGTTGCTTTACTACTTGCTGGGTAAAAAAAGTACAAAAAAATTTACCCTGTGAAAGTTTGCATTTAGATATAATTGTTCTAACCAACATGATGAGAATATGTATATTAGTATAAAGTTGCCTCACACGACCGGGGAAGGGCCCCGCTCTCACGGAATACCATGTAAAATAGCAGTTTAACCCTGCTGTGTTTCGTATGGTGAGCGTAGAGAACTGGAGAACCTTTTTACTGGAAACGAGGCATTACATCTTAGTCCTCATGGGTGACAACGCATCTACATTTTGATACGTAATCGAGAATAGATGTAGATGTCTATGGGCTGTAGCAACCACTTACTATCAGGTGGACTGTGTGCTCGTTTGTCACCCTTACTCTATTAAAAAAAAACTTTCTGAGATTTCAGTAAAATAATGTTAAGTATTGTAAGCACTCGTATAATTATGTGTCTCATGTTAATAAAGCTATTAGGCTATTTTGATTTTTAATAAAGTGATTTTACTTTATAGGTTAAATAATTTATTTACCCTTCTATATCAAGAACCGTTTTTCTGTCACTCCTATTGAATTTGGCAGTGCTTGCTGAAATTTAGTATCTTTAGATGGATCAGAATCGCGCGCTGGTCCGGCTGTTAGATATTGCAAAAATAATCGAAAATATTTATTTTTACTTTGATGCCGAAGAAAATGCCGATAATTATATAATTTCAAGTCAATGTTTTACATTTAAAGATCAGTTATAAAGAGCCAAAGTTCTTATTTTCATTTTGATTAATTTAATTCGAGACTAAAATAAATGTGAAAGGGCTTTTATCTGCAATAATAATTTTCATCAAAAATAACATTAGACAACAGACTTATAAAGGTCATATACACGGTCAATCATACTGAAGATTATCAATTGTACTACAAAATATTTAAAAGACTATTTCCAGTATAATGACCCGAATATCATCATTAATATTTGACTGGCACACTTAAAAGTTTTATCATATGGCTAAATGATTGACTTTTATATTATGATAAGGTCATGCTTTTCTATAAAAATTTGCAAGAAATTTTAAATCACGGACCTATTGGTTTGTTTTACTTTTCACTTAATTAGTTAAAAACAAAATGGACTGATCTAAAAGTTTACTTTCTTGTGTAAAAAGTGCTATTTAGAATTTTATACAAATGAATTAAAGCTTCTATGTAAATAAGTGTAACATAGCGGGTATTATATTCAATTGTAGCGGCCATCCATATTTGCAAAGCCAGCATCATTTTCTGTACAGAAAAGTGTTGCTCAAGGCACTATAAACAAAGCAGCTCATAAAATGTTACACTCATAACTGTTAACAAAAACTGTTTCTGCAAATGGTCTTATAGATAATAATAACTATTCCGCCGGGTTAGGTGCAGGAGCTATTATTAGAAGGAGAAGAGGTAAAATTTTGTTTTAGAAATGCGCAATCAATATTGTTTTGTCCGCAATTGAGCATAAAATAAAAAATAACTTCAGCCAAAGAGCATAACTGGCATTATACTCAGGCCCACCAATTGATATGGAAAAAATAATTTTACCAGGTTTCAAAAAATCAAAATTCAAAAAAACATAAATATTAAAATCAAAAATGTATATATGTATGTCTATACATACATATAATGATTTATGGCCGCTTAGTAACTGACGGTGACTCAGTATAACATTCTACAGTCACGCCGAAACTTAGAGAAGAGAATCATTGTAGAAAAGGTGGTAATTGATTGCGGAAATTTTGTAATAAAATTAAAAAAATTACAAACTTATGCAAGTTAACTAACTTATCCTTATCCGTTACAAAAAAAAAACAAATAATAAAATAGTGAGATGGCGTCAGTTTTTAAGAAGATATAACAAAAATAAACAAAAAAATAAATTTCATAAAAGTTCAGTATTTAATTGATTATATACCGCTGACACTTAATCACGCTTTTCGAAACCACGCCAGTTGTAAACAATACTTGTGTGAAAAGACAAAATCTTCTTTTCAAATTTCCGCCGAGTTGTAAGTAGAAAGCCAAATCGGTCATGTGTCAATTTTAATTAAATATATTTTATATGAAGTGATCTTGATTACGTTTCATCAATTAACCATTAGTAAAAATTAAAACAGGAATTTTACAATTGTGCTTACAGGAAACATTATTATTTGAACCTTGCAGCTTGTTCATTATTTTTATTATAAATACCTATAAATGTATATATTATTAATAAATAGTTCCCATAATATATTGGATTATTTTTTATTTTGCCCTATCTGCAATGTTCTACGCTCTATAGAAAATGTGGCGTATGACAAGACTGACAATCTTTCGAACGTTTTATCTAGGTACAAAGATGTTTTACGTTTTCGTCGCCTCCACATGATATTTTTGTCAGCATAAGGTACCCTTCTGTATCTGAAACGAATATAAATATTGCTACAAAGTAAAGTAAAAGGCTATACAAGTCCCTCTACTGGGCACAGGATTCTTTTTTATTTCTGAGAGGGTTTTAGGGTAAGGAAATGCCCGCCGCGCTGTCCCAATGCGTGTTGACGAAAATTGCAATTACAAATTGCATTCGTGCTGTCGGGGATCAAACCCGGGAAAAATTTACAGCATACTCTTTGACCCAGATCTACTAATACGATACAAATAAATACGATTTAACATATATAATAAAAAACTCTTACGTACTTGAGACTTGAACACTTGATAGCTCGTGACGCCTACCGGACAAAGCTACAGCACAATGTAATTGAAGATGCGTAAGCGCGACATAATTTTCAGTGATGCGCAAGCATAACAGGCAGTATGTCACTTATATAATTGTCATCTCTGCAGTCTATTAATCTTTGCACTTTTATAAGTAATACAGAACGTAGTTGCTAGACGGTGTTGACGTTGGCTAAAATCTCTGCGATCGCCGTTTCGTCAAGGTAATGACCTTGACGAAACAGGCTAGTTAAAGCCTTAAAACGAAGCGCCGCGCCGTAGTGAAAGGTTCTTTGCTACCTAACTTGTTTTTATTATTTATATTCGTATTTTATTACGATAACCATAAGAATAGAATCGAATTCTAGATAGAATAGAAAAAATATTTATTTAACAAATGAATAAGTGCACCTCCGGGTGTACAGACACAATCTTAGCGAATAGACTACAGTTTTTAGGCAATTAAGAAACAAAGAGATTTAAATATCTACTACTTAAATGTCTTTGTTAAGAAATAAAGTTATATACTTATCTGAAATAAACTTCAAATCACGTTGGCAAAGTGCACACATAAATGATGACAGCGTTTTCTTAGTAAAATTAAAGAAATTTAGTGTTAGATTGTCGAAAAGAACGTTTGCGGTTTACATACATATAACAATTATTATAGTCATCTTAGCCATTCGCAGTTACGGAGAATTGACTGTAACCATAATATGTGTAATAATTAGTATTTATTACACATATTATGCCGTAACTTGGTGCGCAAAGTATCCGTTTGGTCATACATAGAAGTCTTTGGATAATATCAAAAAAATACAAAGAGAACAAATAAAAATATTATAATAATATATAAATGAATTACACTTAAGATATAATCTAAATATTATACAAAAAAAAAAATTATTACATTTTAAAGTAGACATACCCAAAGTTCTTCTCCGTTTTGTATACTGAGGTCCCCAATCTAGAAAGTTCGTTAACTCCTCAACATCAAAACTGCATTTAGAACGCTCTCTTTGCAAATCTTCGTTAACTTTCTTCGCGGCCATTTTTCAATATAGTCACACCTACAATAAACATTTATTACTTGTGCACATAAATTTATCACATTTCAAGATGATTTATAGTGTTATAAAGAACATTTGATAAAAAAAGGTGACAAAACATACCTACGTCATAAAATATTGTCGGCTTGACAAAATATATAGGTAGGTATGTCGTTTACAAACAGAATATTTATTTAGTAAATAATGCATAAATGGTCAAATGAAGACCACAACGCTGAATAGTCTGACGCGTACTATTCGGGTTATTAACTCATGATATAATCTTTAGTAGAAGAAGCAAATACTGATAACGTAATATGAGGTACGAATATTTATTTACTGGCAAACACGAACATTATTTCTACAACTCGTGTTAAAAGTGCTCCACTGTTATATGATCTATTTTTAAGTGTTCATACTGATACCAATGTCGATTAATATTGCATTAAGCATATAAGTAGTCTACAAATACGATTACATTCATCCAAATGTTTAAAGATACCGTAATAATTAATTTGACTTGAAAAATTTTCAGTACTACTCATGCGGATAAAGAACGGGATTAGAAATGGCGGCTCGCCATATTATAGGAGATTATATGGGTCCACCCCCCGAGTCAGTCTATTTAATAAAAAAATAATTATTTAAATCGTATCACAATTGACGACATTCGCGAAATATATATACAAAAAAACATACAAAAATACAGACAAATTCTTAAGTCCCCCTTTTTTTTAAATCGGCAAAAAAGTAAATGTCACTGCTGAACACACACCTCTCTTTTCTGAGAGGGCGAGGGAGCAGTCAGTCTCCCTTGCGTGCAGCATCAGTACGATATAAAATTTTACTATTAAAATAAACAATATAAAACAATTACAAAATTACAAATTAAGTAAATTAAATTAACCATATTGAATAAAATTATCTTAATATACCAATCCATTCATAACAATCTACGATTTCATTACTTTAGGCCATCTATTTACCACCTTGAAACTCAATAAATTTTTATTCGATACGACTTTACCTATAGTATAAATAGTAGATGGCGATAAGTATTGGAAAGAAAAAATACTTTTGATTTTACACTAAAGCAGTCTCCACGGAAACTAGCCATCTGCGCAGGACAAATAATAAAGTAACGGAGTGTATGTGAAAGCAAAGGTTATTAACTCTATTTTCTCACTATGCTTGTCCATTGGGACGGCCATCCGATACGACCGAAGAGAAATTCATTCAGGATGGAAAAATAGGGAGTGATGTTTTTGTTATAATTATTAGGCAACATTATAGTTTTACTTTGACTTGTGATATTCCTTAGTACAATAAAAAGGGACTAAGATTAACTTTTAACAAAAAGTAAAAATTTATAATTTCCACATCTCGCTTCTGAGGTCGGGTATTTTTTGTTAAATTATAGGTTAGCACCGACTTTTTAATTTAAGCCTTTTATATATTTTTTCGACATTAGAAGTGGGATGAACTCGCTTGTACTACAACTCGCATGATTCTTGAATCATTATATTTTGCTTTTATGATTATATTGATGACTAGCTGTTCCCCGCGACTTCGCCCGCGTGTAATTTAGGGTTTTAATTATGTTGCGTGGAACCCTAATTCTTTTTCTAAAATATAAGTAGCCTCAGCTACTCCTTATACTAACTCCTTATACATCAGCTATCTGCCAGAGAAAATCCTGACGAAATTGGTCCAGCCTTTTCGGAGATTAGCCGGAACAAACAGACAAACAGACAGACTGACAAAAATTTAAAAATTGTATTTTTGTTATAAGTACCGTGTATATTTCATATGGATTTAGTAAAAAAACTGTTATTTTTACATTACAAACGGACACGGTTTTTTTTTCAAATATTATAATGATTAAAAATATATATTGCCGTACTTACCACATTAACGTGTCCGTTTAATCTAAAATGTTATAAACCTTTATTTTTTAGAATCGTGGTGATTTGAAACTCGATGAAACAAAAAAGCGACACCAAAAAGAGACAAACATATGAATACATCTATAGGATTTAGCCTGTGAGAGAATGAGATAGAATACAGTATACAGTGCTTCCTATTATCTCGGTATCAATTCTTGAAGATTTCACATCTAACTCGTGTGAACTGCAGACATGTTTTTTTTTCATTAGATTAGATCATTTAGTTAGAGGAAACCAACAATGAATTAGTTTTTATTTTCAGTTAACTTTACAATTTTTGCACCTATTTCCAATTATTAGTTATTGATTTGTACTCTACATACACCCTGTTTTATTCTGTCTTATTACATTAATTTTACAATGATGTGAGGTCATGGTAAATAACGTAACTGTTATGCAAATAAAAAAATAAATTTCTTAAGAATAATCACAAAAACGCCTTTAAAGTTATGTAGTGTAGAAAACGTGTTATTGCAGTAAAAAAAAACTCATCAGTTATATGCGTAATATACGAGTATATACAGGTTTTCCTGTAAATAATAGTCCAAACAAAATGTTGCGACTTTGCGAGAGATGAGACTGTGCCCTATGAGCAAAATACAGCCAAAAAATTTTTAATAAAATTACAGTTATCAAGATTTTTTTGATTTTCATGATTTTATCGAAAATTTATCACCTTAATACGTAAAATTTATGCTATTCTATTGAAATAGCGAAAACGTATTTTTTTTATTGAATATTATTTCTGACTACTACAGTTTCTTTAGAAAAAAGTACCTATTAAAGTTGCAAATTCCTACGAGACAAGATTTTTCATCCAAGCTTAAGCACAGAATAAATAATAGTTGGCTTAAGATTAGTGTTGCCCAAATGCAAAAACAAGACGAGACTTAGCAAGTCTTGGTCTAGGTCTTCGCCAGTACACCTGGTCTTGGTCTTGGTCTTGGTATTGCGCTCCCAGTCTTGGTCTTGGTCTTGGTCTTGCAGCAAGAGTCTCGCAAGTCTCGCAATGATCTATTAGCCTATTACTATTTATTAAACGTTACTTTAGATCTTAGAACAACTTAACAGAGTAGGTACATATTGAGCTTGAATTAACATAGCCATAGTAAAGACCAACCATATTAATAAATGTCTAAACATTTAATGAGAAATTCGAAAAATCAACTGACACCGGGTGGGGTTTGAACCCACGACCTAAGCGATCCGTGCCGATGCTCTAACCAACTGAGCTATCTACCGTGTCCCACGGCCACGGGCGTCAGTTTCTTAATACACGTTTACATTTAATAAGCTTACATGTGCTAAAACATGGTTAAACATACATATAAAAACAAATTAATGGCAATAACTACACTGTATTTTAAATAACATTATCTCTCTAGAAAGAGATTGATGGACCCTCACCATATATGAAATGGAATAAAAGTTATACAATATACCATTTATTTAAATAAAAAATAAAATACGATGCAAATTAAATTACTTCACAGTATGTACACAACAGCTTTGACATTACTGTTACTTTATATTTATTCTTTTGACAAAGCGTTAATACAAAGTAACCATCTGGCTGACTCATCACTTAACCTATTTCTATGTCTTCTAATTACTAATGATGCTTTAGAAAATAATCTCTCAGCAGGTACTGAAGTTGCAGGTATTAAAAGAAAATCACGGGCCGTCTTCGATAAAATCGGATATTTTGTCTCATGCGTCCTCCAACAGTCTAAAATGTCTTCCGAGATGACGGCTCTGGGTTTACCTAGGTACCCCTCCAACTCCTTAATAACTAAGCCTTGAAGACAAGATCCAGATCCATTTTTACACGTTTCAAGTGTTTTAAAAGTGCTATAGTGTCAACCATATTTATCAAATGTGTGACATATTCGAGCACTTTGTGTTTTAAAAACACACACTTGCAGTGAACTTACTGAACATGTTTATCTTTTAGGTAATAATAATAACAATAATAGTAAGTAATTATAAAATTAACTAGATGGATTTATCCATCTAGTTAATTTTATAATAATTACTTACTAGAATAAATTATTATGATACCTACCTATTATCTAATTACAATATTTCTTGCGAGATCAGGATAATGTATTCGTGTCCATTCTGAGCACCCGGAAAATTATTTTATTCTTTGAAACATGTATTCTATGGCGGCAATCAAACAGTGTCAAATGTAGTGCGTGTGGCGCGGCGGCGACGAATGTATGCGATATCAATAGTAGCCGCCGGTACGTGTATCTTGACCTTGTACTTTCGAATAGCTGCACAATTTCTTTGACAGGTCAGTATCCGACCTTTGATGACGCCGACAACAAGACGCCGCGCACCATCAAAGTGCCGATGGTCAAAACTAGGGATGCACTCTTTTTTCTTTTAATGGATATTTTCATTCGCTATGTATGTTTATGGTATTGTTCGTAATGCGCATAAGTCCAATTTTCCAATTTTTTTTTCATTATATTTTTTTGCGTCTCATAGAGTCCCTAAGCGTATACCCGAACTCCTATACTGCCTGAAACGACACTTAGTCCTAACTGCAAGACGCAAGAGTCTCGCAAGCTTAGTCTTGTTCTTGCGCACTTCTTGCACGGTCAGTCTTGGTCTTGGTCTTGCTAAAAAGAGGCGGTCTTGTTCTTGGTCTTGGTCTTGCAAAAATGCAAGAACAAGACCAAGACTGCAAGACCAAGACCGATTTTGGGCAACACTACTTAAGATACCTTTTTTTACATGGGGAAATGCCTACGGATACCCGCCTCGCGGGGGCAAGGACGGGTTATGTCGGATTCGCACCGACTAAAACCCCATGGTGTTCCACCTTCACCCCATATTGGCAGGGCCACGGGAACGTTTTCGCACACATCCGCGGCCCCACCAGCGCCGGCCTCGCCCCATGGCAATCCCTTCTCAGAGGAGGACCTCTCCACTCCATTCTCCCTCTCAGGCAAGGCGCACCAGGAACACAAGGCACGCCACCCTCCACGGCCTCCAACTCCACTTGGGTATCGGACGCCCCCGAGTCTAACACGCGGAGGCCATGAG